ACAGCACGTGGTATTCCCAAGCGGTTACCCATCTAGGTATCGACCAGGCTCAGTTGCTTAACTTCAGTGATCGTACGAGAATCGGTGTTTCAATGTGATATGGCCATAAGCGAGCAAAGGTGGACACATTTCAGTTGCTAAGACTCTCCTCAACGAAACCTCCGTATGAACATACCGTATTTACTAAGTATATTATTTACTGTTATCATTTTATACTGATATATTGCTTTCTGTTGCTATTGCTGTCATGAATGCTGGACAAACATCAGTAGAAAACTGGATTTATTGACTTCACACAGAAATAGTTACAAATCCTATAAAGAATGTAGTATGCAAAGTTGATACACTCATAACACTTTTAACTTCCTTAACTCAAGCCGTGCTATGGATGATTGCCTTCTCAACCCTTCTTGCATTATTCGTAACTTCCATTACTTAGGCCAGGGGAGGTAGATTGAACATTGGTGGTGATATTGGAGGTCAGTAACCGGAGACGCACGAATAGAGACCCTCGCATTAAAGCCTGATGTAATCGGGGTTCGGGAAAGCGATACAATGTCTCGCTTGGGCGCTCGGGCCACACATGGACAGCAGGAGGGTATATAGCGCCAACGCATATTTAATAGTGTTATTCTGCTTTACTGAAATATGTACTCACTGACATCGAATACAGGGAGATCTGTGTTCGAGTCAGGTAAAAGGACAAGTTTTGGTTTGGTTTGTTTTGTTTTACGTCATATCAACCAAAATAGGTTTTTTAATGGCGACAATTTTTATTGCTGGTAATATTTTCCTTCAAAAATGTATTTCTGGTAATATTTTTTCCTTCAAAAATCTATTTCTGGTAATATTTTTCCTTCAAAAATCTATATCTGGTAATATTTTTTCTCCAATCGTTGGTAATATTTTTAAAAATATGTAGAGCTGGTAATATTTTTTTCAAAAATGCATTGCTGGTAATAAGTTTTACAAAGCATTTCTGGTATTAAAACCTATTTTTACACTTTCATAGTGTTTTGACCCCAGTTTTTTTTTGCGGGGGGTAACAATTTACACATAGCTGGGACCCTAACAGGTGCTACTACACTGGGTCAGGGTGGACCTGGGAGCACTAGCAATTAACAGGTGATTTCATGCTCCTCAAAACCTCCTGATCAGAGGCGTTGCTGTTGGACGTAGTTTATCGTCTTACCCAAGACGCCGATGTAGTTTATCGTCATACCTAGCACGGGACAAATTTTGAAAAAACGATTATAATTCCATGACTAAATTCTCCGCCAACGAGCAGGTTCAGGACTAGAAGCTTCTTGTTTTACAAAAACCTGTTCCGTCATCCATTCCCTATCGCCGTTCGTATTTGCAAGAGTTGGTTGGCGGTAAAGTATATCAGAGTAGAAAAAAGTGCCGTTGGCATGAATTTGGTTATGGTGGATCTCAATTTGACCCACACACTTGATTTCATGACCTTCCTCTTCGGCACATATGGAATGAGACATGCAGAATCCAATTATGAAACTGCAACGGACTGCCACTGTCTCTGTTATAATTTCGAGTGGCGCCTTCTGTAGCTTGTCCGTAACGCGTAGCCCTCTTCATCTGCTAGTTTAACTGTTGAGATCTGTTGTAATCGTCATTCGCTTGTTCCACTGTTGGGGTCTTTAGGGTTGGCCGCGTTTACTCTGGATCCTCGACTTCGACTTTGCCGCCAAAAGTGACCCTACCAAGAGTTTAGAACTCCCGACAGCATTGCTCTCGGAATCATATGACAATATATAATATATATGCATACAAAAATGGTCTATACAATAAAATTATATTATTTTTAGGATCCGATAAAATCACTTTGCAGTTGTCAGTGATGATCGTACGTTTTAGGTTTCATTTTTTCCCGTTATTAGTCAAGTGAGCCTCCTATTCAATTATTTGGCATCTAATTTCAGAAAAAAACAAAAAAAAACAACAAAAAACAAACAAACAAACATTATTTCCTTAAACGGCCAATCATTAATCCCATTTCGCTACAAAGGAAACGGTAATTTCTGCAAATGAAGAGACAAATTTCAATCCTGATGGAAGGCGTATTTTTTAAAATAATTTTTCTTGAATGTTCAGGCCCGTCGACGTGATAAAATATTGTTTAAAATTATATTTGGAATATATACCAACGGATTTGTTACTTTTTTATATATATAATTAATTAATTAATCAATACAAGTAAAAGGTTTGTCAGTTAGCCGAATAATGTTACCTTCAGTATCTCGACTCCAGTGGTTCGTAGACGCACCCTCTGGTATCACTTCAGACGCTCCTCAGGGCGTATCAGCAATTGATTGTTAATACTTTTTTTTCTTTTTAATAATGCACTTTTCATTGATGCAAGTTTTTTCATAGTGTATGTGTGCGTTCGCGCGCGCTTGCGTCCATGCACGCGTCTGCGCGTATGTGCGTACGTGTAGAATATCATGGTTATTTGTTCTTTCAGTTGTTTTTTTTTTTTTTCACTTTAAATTCACTCCTTATTGTCTTTTTTTTCTTCTTTTTACTTTTGCTCCTTTTCCTTCAATTTTAGCCATTTTGACCTCCGGTTTTTTAGACATATATATGATACCGCTTTCTCGTTCCCAAGTATAGCCATCACTAGATATCGTTCCATTGCACAATTTTAACATTGCGCAACAAAGACGTGGTCTTTTAGATTAGTTATAGAGCCACACCACACTTTCTGCAAAATTGTTATTTATTTTTTTGTCGAGTCGAAATGCCTTTTTCGGTTAAGGCTGGCCATTGAATTTTAAACGTACATATCTTCTAGTGGTGATGCATGTTTTAAAGTCTTTCAAGCGACCAAACTCACCCTGAACAAAGATATTTACCCAAAAGGATGTACTAAACTAAATTATTGGCTGCAATCGAAATTTCAGTGTATTCTTCTACGTGGACGACTTATCGTATTTGATGACATAATAGATACACGGGCGTATTAAATGCAACAATATTTCAGAAGTATCTATTCAGGGGATATTTTTTTAAGTGTAATGTTTAAAGCAAGGTCTCAGTACATTACAAAATAATTCAAAGACACTTGAAATTGCTTTATACAAAAAGCAAGCTATCAGTAGCTTGCTTTACAGCTTGCTTTAAATTAAACAGTGAAGATATCTGACATAGTAATAGTTGAACAAATGAGACAAAGTGGGAAAGATATTTTAAGGACAATGTGTTTCGCTTTAGTGTCTTAAGTAGGCGTCTTCAGGTCACAACGAAAGGCAAATGAAAACTGCGTGTTTTTTTTTTTTTTAATAATAAAACCGTTAATGTCTGTTGGAGGTGTAATTAGCCCATTCCGAGTAGACCTTTGTTATTTTTTCTATTAGCTCGTATATCGCATTTTGTTGTTAATGTTTCTACGATGATCGGTGATATTATGTATGGTCCTGGTCTGAGGTTTATTATCGAGAACTGTGAGATCAGTGCGCTTTCAATACATTTTCTTCTTAGGGAATCCTTTTCTTTCCTGATTGGACTGGCATTTATTAAGTCGAAATTCAGGTCAGGTAAATTACCAGTGCATATTATTCTATATCCTACTGTGACTCAAGATAACAATAATAAAACCCCGCAAAAAACATTTAAAACAAAAAACATTTAAAAAAAAATAAGTATCCACAACAGTTGAACATAAGAGAAAACACTGTTTTACCTTTGCTTGTTTTTCCTTTCAGTTACGTCTCTGTTTTTGTGTAGTATTTTTTACATGTATGTGTCTGCGTGTGCGTGCATGTGTGCAGTTGTAGGTTTGCTTGTGCAAATTTGACCTGTTCAAGAGTCTCTTACGTACACAAAGAAAAATATATAATTTGAAGTTACACATATCAAGCACACACACACGCACACACACACACGCACACACACGCACACATATATCAAGCACACACACACACACACATCTTATTATTATTATAAACGTTAACTTAGTAGGTACACATATTTGAATAGATTAGACTGCTTTTAAAAAAGTGAAATTAAGTTCAATCGGCCTAAATAATCGAAAGTTTTTTAATAAGACATTTGAAGAGATCTCTCTTTCCGCACCCCCATATATATATATATATATATATATATATATATATATATATATATATATATATATATATAAAAGAACTTAAAACATGACCAAAGAGTTCGGCAATTCTTGTGATTTCATTTTTAAAATAATTTTTGGATAAATGTAAACCATTTTGTAATTTCGGTTTGATGACGCAGATATTAAAAACTTATCTGTCGAAATAAATTTATTACCGAATTCTTCGATGATGTGTTAAGTTTTTTTCCTTTTTGATACATATTGCTCTGTATATAAATATATTGAGCTCTCTTCATGGCTCTATCTTTCTAATATTTTATATTAAAAAGACTTACTTGGATTATTCTTACCATTTATGGATTTGATATTATCTATCTATCTATCTATCTATCTATCTTATTATTATTATTATTATTATTAATATAACCATTATGTTCAGCGGGTGCACGTGTCAGAATAAATACACTGTTTTTTGTTTTATATAGTGAAATTGATATCTATCGGGTTATTAAAGAAATAATAATTTTGAATTTTTAAGTCTTTAATAAAAAGCATTCGATTGGTCAGGCCGGTAAATGTTAATTTTATTCACCAAAAAACAGAAGAACAAACAATATCTACTTAAACACATGTACCCACTTAAAGTAACGTTAATTAGTAGAAGTACCTAATTTAGAGTCTTTTTCTTTCCATCACTTTTGTAAGTAAGTATTACACACTGTGATATTAGAATATCTGCCAGCAATGGTGAATGACCTTGCGATTAAGACACTTCGTCGTAGGGAATTATTTTCTCTTTTGATAAGAGTAGCATTTTTTATGTCAAAGTTGTGGTCAGTGTAGTTACGGTGGCCAAGCAACGGGTTTGATGTATTATTTTGTAAAATGACCTTTTTGTGTTTATTTACATTCCTCGAGGTTTCTCCTATGTATCTATTGTGACAATTATTACAGGTGATGGCGTAAACTCTTCCTTCAGGTTTTAAATTATTGTTTTGTTTAGTATTGACTCAGTCTTTTATTGT